GTCAGAAGAGGGTGTCAGATATCTTTGACCTGGAGTTACAGATGATTGTTAGCTGCCATATAGGTGTTGGGAACCAAATCCAGGTCCTCCACAAGAGCAGTCAATGCTTTTAACAACTGAGCCATCTCTCCAGCCCTGGTATATCTCTTTTTATTTATAATTTATCAAGCACCTACTTGGTACCTAGAAGGGAAAAAGTAAATGTTTAACAGACATTTGTTTTTTTCTCCTAAAGTTGAGAATTGAGCACATCTTTAACATACTCAACTATATAGCCAAGGGACACAACCAATGTAATCACCCCAAATCATGGAAAGGAGAGGAAAGAATGACTTGTCAGGTGGCTACAGTGAAGGAACTCCATGTGTTATGTCATTTATTCCTACAGTATGAGTGCTGTTCTTGCTGTTCAGGTTGTACAGTTGCAGTTCCAAGAGCAAAATTGTTCTTACTAGTAAGATTAGGAAACAGAATTTAAGCTTTTATTTCTCCGATTCCAGAACCTGCACTCTTATTGCTATTGACTTTTTAGAAACTAATCCTTTATTCTTTTTGTTGTTGAGATGAGTTTAGGCAAGACTAGGATGAATAAGAAAAACATACTATTTAGGGATTCATTACTTATACTTGAGTAACTTACTATCCGAAAGGACTGCTGAGTAGTTTAATTTATTGGGATTTCTTTCCTTTTAAATTTTCTTCTTTCTTTAAATGTTTCTCTCAAGGTACTTTTGTTTTGTTTTGTTTTGGCACCTTCATATTAAAGACTTACCAGAGATATTTGATTGATAATCAGGTGTAAGAGTAAGTCACTAAAAATTAGCTAGAGGCTCTGAGTACCTGGGTGGGAATTGTAATTACCTGTACGGTGACTTGCAAGGATAATTCCCTGTGAATCTTTGTTGACTAATATCTTTAGGTCTTTTTGAGTCACCGTTTACTCAGCTTTGACTTCTGTTTTCATGCCTGGAAGATACGATAACGACTGCATACATCCTAGGATACAGAGACAGGAAGCAGTCTACGATATGCAACATTCATGGTCTAAACTTTTCCTTAATGCTGTCATTTTAAAATATTTTATTCTTATTTTATGTGTATGAATGTATTGCTTGCATGTGTGCAAGTGTACCTCTGTTGTGCAATGCCCCTGGAGGGCAGAAGATGGCGATAGGTACCCTGGAACTGTAGTTACGGACAGTTGTTAGCTGCCATGTGGGTGCTGGGAATCAAAACCCAGGCCTCTGCAAGAGCAGCCAGTGCTCTTAAACACTGAGCCATCTCTCCAGCCCCTATTTTTAGTTTTATGAGGAACCTTCATACTGATTTCTGTAGTGACTGCATAAGTTCACATTCCCACAAGCAGTGAGTAAGGAGTCCTCTTTCCCTATATTCTCATTTGTTTTCTATCCCAAATGCAAGTATGTGGCACCATGCTTAAAGGGAATGTTCTCTCTCTCTCTCTCTCTCTCTCTCTCTCTGTATAATATATGTGCA